CTATAGCTGGCCCAACTACCTTCTTACCCCGAATACAACGGATGGTCATTCTAGCTGTATTTGGGGCATTTTTCAGTCTAAATATAGCTAGAATGACCGGACGTTGTATTCGGGGGAAGAAGGTATCCTACACCTTCAATCAGCATGCTCCTTGGCACCACTTGAGAGCATTGGAGAAGAAAACTACCGTCTTCACCCGAATAGGACGCCCGGTCGTTCTCGTTGCATCTGGACCGCAAGTTGTGCCAAATACAGCTATAACGACCAGGCGTTCTATTCGGGTGAAGACGGTAGCAGCGATACAGAGAGGCAGTTGCCTTCCCTGGCAGACTTTAGACCAATCCAGACCCCTCTATAGCTGGCCCAACTAGCCTAAACCTTAAACCAGCATGCTCCTCTCCTACCTTCAGCCAGCATTCTCCTCTGCACCGATTGATAGTATTGGAGATGAAGATCACCAGCGAAACAGAGAGGCAGCTGCCCGCCGGGGCAGATTTTACACACCAAATAGATACAGCTTAAGTAACAAACGATGTTCTCAGACCCGATTCACGTACGATAATGACCACGCTTTCAATTGAGGAACCACAGTGGTACTACCTTTTTTTTTTTTTTTTTTTTTTTTTTTTTTTTTTTTTTTTTTTTTTTTTTTTGACCTGGTGCTAGGCTACCAGAGTGGCCCGGGTCCACTTGCCCAGCCGGGGCCAAAAAGAAAAAAAATATATATATTTATTATATATCGTCAAATATTTATTATATATATCGTCAAATAGAACTGCCGACGGTAAACCGTAGGCAGAGAGGGAGAAGAGGACAACAAACGAGGGGCTGTGACAAACTGTTTCGTCGGAGTTTCACCGACTCATCATATATATACAGGGTTACCGGCGTTCAGGACGGGCCGACCCGAACGCCCGAACGTACAGGACCCCTTCGGAAGGCGTTCGGCCGTTCGGGCCGAACGCGGACCAAAAAAAAACAAAAAAAAACAAACATAAGTTTTCAAAAAATTCCGAAAAAAAAATGTTATGGAGACAAATAAACTAAACAACATTTGCCTGGGCACTACATCCAAATTCGTTACCAAATTTGAATTAAAAATCAAATACAGAAAATAAACACTATGATAAAAATAGGAAAAAATAAAAAGAGAATTAAAATTAGTGAGCGTGCCAGCACCTTTTCGACACCGCCATCTTTGCCGATTTTTAATTATCTTTTGGCATTGACAAATGCCCTGAAAATTTACAGATATCTATTTTACATAATCAATAACGCGTTAAAAAATTTTATTATTTTTCTATATTCTTCTCTCAACTTCTGTTTGTTTTTACCTTCCACTACCTACTCCTAAGACTATCTAGAGGGGACCCCTGCAAGCATAGTTTTCCTCTCTYTGTGAAGGGGRGATTTCATGTTGCCCCTTGCCCCTAATGGTTAGGGTATAGGGTTGGGGCCGCCAGTGGGGGTCTGGCTAACACAAAGACCGAGACCTGCCAGTAGCTGTGCCKCCCTTTCTCATTGTCCCCCACCCTTCATCGAGTAGCAGCAGAGGCTATGGCCAACACTCTCCCACACACCACACACAACCCACTCGCGCTCACACTCACACCCGTGTTGGTCATAGACCCTGCTAATACCGATCAGGGGTATCCAGAGGACTATCACAGTCCGTTGGCACTAAGTGCGCCGCAGGCGGCCATGGGGCTTGAACCCACAACCTCCTGAATGCCACTTGCATGCCTAACCAACTGAGCTAGGCCGCTGGATCATTAAAAATTTTTCAAAAAATAATAATTTTTTTAGGCCCCGAAATAAAGTGAATCAAAAAGTTAAAAGTGAAACAAAACAAAATAGTGAGTGGGCGAGCACGTTTTGACACCCCCATCTTTGAAGATTTTTAATGTTTTTTTGGCTTAGCAGAATGGCCTCAAAATGTATAGGAGTGTAGGTTACATCATAGAGAACTGACAAAAAAAAAAATCAGAAAAAAAAACTTATTTTTAGGCCCCAAAACATTTTTTGGCGGGGGCCGAACCTGGAGGTGTTCGGCCCCCGAATGGGTCCCCGAACGCCCGAACGTTCGGGGGCCAGCCCGGGGGGCCCCAAACGTTCGGTCAGGTAACCCTGTATATATATAAATTTTAATTTGTATTTTAAAATTGGTAAAGAATGTCGTTCAGTTTATTTTTCTGCATAACATTGTTTTTTTTCGGATTTTTTTTTTTTTTGGCTGGGACCTGCCCTAGTCCTTCCACGGCTGGTAGCCTAGACCCGGTGCAAATAGGGTGACCCGGGTGTCCCGGCTGGTAGCCTAGACCTGGCATAAATAACATACTGAGCTACTTGACATTTATTCAAGCTACCAACGAACCTCGCTAGGTGGAGACTATGTCGTGCCGATCAACAAGAAATAAGCAGTGCATCGACGTGTTTTTCATTTCGACCTCTTTTTTTCTTCTTCGGTCCATGCGGTTGCCAACTCCTCATTTTCGAAATTCAACAAGTGTTTCTCGACCTCTCTTTCGATGTGTATTTTGCTACCTTGCATTAACGATGACGCAAAAGTTTTCGCTCTACTCCACCGTACCTGTTGTTTGTTTTGTTGCTGAACATAATTGTCTGCTCCAATCTCTGTATTCTGATCGGAGTGAAGAAACTCTCGTCGCGGTAGCGCCTTGTCTGTGGAAAAGCAACCATGATAACCCTCCTGAACCGACAGACCTCGCTGCGCCTGTTTGGTTGGAAAACCTGAGAGGAGATTTGCTATAGATTGGTAAGCTCTTCCGATGCCAAAAAAAAAGAGTGTCAGATGCTCTTCGCTTTTTTTTTTTTTTTAACACACCCCCACCGGTGTTAGTTTGCTAAGAATTGGTAGTTTCTAAAGCGGCTCACGCTTTCCGGGGCATGTGAAACTTTGTTAGGAAATTAAGAATAGGCTGCTCGTAAAACTGTGCCAAAAAAAAAAAAGAAAAAAAAAAAAGAAGGATTTGACGTTTTGACCCCACAATTTCAAAAAAAAAATATATATATATATATATCGTCACAAATAGATATATATCGTCAAATAGAACTGCCGACGGTAAACCGTAGGCAGAGAGGGAGAAGAGGACAACAAATGAGGGGCTGTGACAAACTGTTTCGTCGGAGTTTCACCGACTATATATATATGCCACTCAATGGCACTGATGCCACCGACCCACGTCCGGAATTGCGACTGAAGTTCTCACCCCTTCAGCTCAGACTACGATAAGCCACTCATTGGCAACTTCACAGCATGTTAGGAAATTTCGGTTTCATAGGGCGTCGCTCCACTACTCTCGACATGCACAAAAGATAAAAATCATGCCGGTGTATCTTTCCATGTTCTAGTGGAAGATTCACTCTCGTTTTCCACATTTCGAGCGTAGCGGAGTGAGTCCCATAATTTGTACAGACCTGACAGATCAGTAGAAAGATCCAGTCAGTAAATGAATAACTCCTCATATGCCAAAATGACGACAGGGTACACACACACACAGAGGGTATACGGAGAGAGAGAGAGAGAGAGAGAGAGAGAGAGAGAGAGAGAGAGAGAGA